CCTTGGGACCATCGTGCTGCCAACCGCTGTTTCCCTCAACGACTAAGTTCGGATGTGGAAAACTCTGTGGGGCATTCTGGCATCGTCTTGAACCGTGTCGCGGGTTCTTCGGGCACTGTCAGGCCGTGTTGGGGCTCTCTTGGGCCGTCGTGAGGCCTTGTTGGTCGGTCGAGGGGCGATCTACGGGGCCTCTTTGGCGACCTCGGACGCCCGAAGAACCGAAGCAGCGCATGTCCCCGAATCGAACCATACAGTGTGTGTTGTTTAGCGCATCCTTTCGGCGCAATGCTGGGAACCTGGCAACAGCGGGCAGACTGCGGCGAGACGCACGGCGCTCATGCCGGAACGCACCACGCTGAAAAAGGCGGGGTTGAATTGCAGATTCCAGCACGCACGCGCAGGTACCTCAAGCTGATAATGGCTATACCACGCCAGATACAAAATCCCGCAGAGGTGGGGAGGCAGGAGGGGAGGAGGCATGCGATGAGTGGGACGAGGAGGAGGAGCAGAGACAGCGAGGATGGGGCGCAGGGCACGTTCGATACGAAACGCAGCAGACTTGGACGCACGGGCTTCGACAAACAGCGTGTTGCTGCTACTCCCTAGGTCGGGGGACGAAGCCTCCACGCAGTGCGTTGATGCAGTCTGGGTGGGAAAGCACAAACGCGACCGAATGCGCGAGGCGCGCTCGACAATCGGCTCTTGATGCGAAGCACTGATGCAGGCCGTTGCGCGGTATGGTCAGCAACATCCTTCGTGGGCCGTCTGCGGCGGAGGCCACCCAGGGGTCAGTCAAACGGCTGGGTCTCAGCGCTGCAAGCCATCATGGGTCCTTCGACCAGTTGCCTGGAACTGCCGGACGGCCGGATGCGAGATCGCCTTGTGGGCCCGGCAGCGATGACCACCGGTCACCCACGAAAAGCCACCACACGCTCAAGCTACGGAGGTAGTGCCGCCATTGGCAGGTCCCAGGAAAGCAACCTGGATGCGGATGCGGCGGATGCGGATGCGGTTCGCGTCCCTGCTCGCTGCGGGCAGCTCTGGAAAGCGTGCCCGACTTCACAGTAATCGACTTCAAGCTACCATAATGTAGTGCGTCTTTTGTGTTCGAAGCAAGCATCGAGTCTTCCCAGCGCAATTTCGGTCCCCACGGTTTCTGGCGTGCGCTGGTACTGGTGGCTTCAAGGTCCTAATGCGGCGCTGATGATGCCCACCAGCTACCGTCTATATGTACTAATCGGCGCGCCCACCGCCACTTGTACCGTCTCGGCAAATAGCCCAAACCTTTAACTTTGATTCGTTCGACATGATCAGCCACTTCGTTCGTTGTCCTTCGAGCGATGTTACTGTTGAAGAAACACCAGACCTTCTGACAAAATCCAAGGAGTAATACGCTGAGGGGCCATCAGCGGCAACGTGTCATTGATGCTCTTGCTCCCTCCCTAAATGTCTCCGTCGTTTCGAACCCAAAATCAATTGCAACATCCGCCGCTGCACCGTCTCCTGAAATTCTGCCGTTTGTCCAAGAACTTCCGTACTTGTGGGAGGAGGAGGAAAGCTGAGGGGACTGACAACGCAACGAAGCCTGGTGGTGCCGAGCTGAAGGCAAACAACCTGCAGTTGCCACGGACTGGGCCAAAGGGGGGAAGAGGAGGGAAGAAGAGGAGTAGCGAGGGGGGAAGGAATCCGTCAGACAAAGGCCGCAACCGTATTTACTGTAAGCGTGCTGTCAAATAGCCGCAGTCTGCCTGAAAAAGAACACCGCCTTTTCGTCATCTCCTGCTTGTGTGGCGCACACGCTGTCCATGCTTATCTTATCCTGTTTGCTGGAGAACGGCCTGGCTGGCAAAGACCTTCGCCAGAAGAACAGCCTGGCTGCCGTGAGGTGCGCAGATAGAATGCATCATGCAAGTGTCAGAGTCTTCAGATAGGTATTCTTTTCCTGAGTTGCAAGCGGCGGCCGTGTCTTCGATTTCGGATGTGGTATGGTCCATCGAATTCACTATTACACCGAGGCGCATGGACGCATGCAAGTCTACCTGCGGAAATACCCGATCATATTTGCTGACCGGACTGGCGACAGTTCGACGCAACAGCAGCAGGTCCCACGCCTGGCTCTTGAACCAGAACGGCTGGAGACAAAACAAGCCTGAGGGAAAACATTGTTGTTGCCGTTTCGGACGCCTCTCGGGAGTATTCGTTTTGGTCGTCTTGGGTGAAGCCACTCTGGGCTCTCGTGAGGCCGACTGGACGCCCTCCCGACAGCATTGGGCTTGTCCTAAGCCTGACACGGCCGTCCAGGAGACCTTGAACCCAAGGAGACGCTCTGCAGGGGCGTCCTGGAGGACCAGAAAAGCCGAAATTAGTTTGGGGGCGCGGCGGATAAATTGCTCTAACATCAGATCGTCGGGACGAGCATACGCCTGTGCGTATCCACCTGTTTCAGAAAGAGAACCCAACCAACAAACATAGATAAAAGAGAGAGAGAGAGAGAGAGAGAGAGAGAGACACAAACAACAAATAACGAGAAAGAGAGAGAGAGAGGGAGGGAGAGAAAGATAGAGCAAGGGGAGCTCACGAGAGACATAAAGGAGGGAACGTGTGAAGGAGTGGGGAGGCGAGATGGGAGGGCAGCCAGGAGGCCAGGAGGGAGGGCGGGGGGACGAGGCGTGTGAGGAGGCCCCCGGGACGAGAGGGAAGGGGCTGAGAGGCCCAACCGGAAGAGACCATCTCGAAGGAGTCGACCGCCGCGCCGACGACGATGGCGGCCGCAGTCGCAAGCAGCGCCGCCGTCAGCCTGCGGGCGGCGCCGCAGGCCGATGGGGGCGCGCTCGGGGAGCTTCGAGAGGGCCCCCCGGGGGAGGGGGAGGGGGGAGGGCGGCCGGGCGGGGGAGGGGTGCCGAGAGGGAAGGCGGGAGGGCGAAGGGGGGGGAGCGAGTGTGGGGGGGGGAGAGGCGGAGGGAGGGGAGGGGCAGGCGGGGGGGGGGGGGTGCCAGCGTCCCCCATCCCCCTCCCCCTCGCCTCGCTCCCACTTCCCCCTCGCTCCCCGCTCCCTCCTCCCTCTCCATCCCTCTCTCCTCGCCCCCCCCCCCTGCTCCTCCTGCTCTTCCTCCCCCTCTCCCCATCTCCCCCACCCTCCCCCCCACCCCCCGCGCTTGCTGGCGAGGAGGAGCAGGAAGACGACGGAGCAACGCAGGATACTGAATGGGTGTGTGTGTGTGAGAGGACGAATGATGGCGATGATGCGCCATAGAAGGCGGGTGTGCTGCCCCACCTCCTCTTTCCCTCAGTGGTTGTTTACGGAGTCCTGACGGTGGAAAGTTTGATTACAGTTGCTTCCATGACGTGCTGTGCCAGCTGTCGTGACGCATCCCAGTCTATCGTTCGTTGCCCCCTGGATTGTGCCTCGTAGTCCACCCAGAACTGTCGCATCAAAAAACCCTGCCCCAGTGGCTCCTCGTGCCAGTTATGGTATTCCAGCGCTTCGCCAAATCGAAATTCTGACGACGCCGACTCGTGGCCTACCCAGAGCCCTGACATACGATGCCCTTGTGCGCCACGCCTTCGGGAGGCCGCTGGGTCCCTGCCCACTACGTGAGCCGCTTCGGCTTCCAAGCGCACTGCCGACCATGTGTTATGTTTTGGCTTTCCTCGTACAGCGTGACGCACTATGGCTGCCAGCTGCTTGCAAAGCTCCCCTGTTTAAATACCGACCTCCGCTATCCAATTCAGCGATGGTGTATGGCATGTGTCCAAGGCTTCGCACACGTACCGCAGATGGCCACCACGCCGTGGCTCGTGATCGCATGAACCCCAAGGCCAATTTGTCCGGTAGCCTCGCCCAGCGCGTCACGTCTACTCGTTGACTGGCAGGCAAGCGGGACGTATGTCGCCGGGCTGCTGGTGCGCGACACCAAGGGCGGGAGCACTCATGAGCATGGCTTTACGCACGAAAGCTTTCCACTTCCATCTCGGACAGTTGCAACTGGAACATGACGCGCATGCGGAATGGATGATATCCCTGCTGTCGTCCTCGACTTGCAGCACATGGAACTTACCAGAAAGCCCCGTGGTAGTGAAACCGTGGAATGTGACACATGGAGAGTACCCGAGCTTCGGGACATCTGCCAACTGGCGTGCCAGGGGCTATCATCCAATCTGGGCTTGCAAAGCGGGCTGGGCTATCATCCCAGAGAAGCAATGAAAACAAAAACAGGTAGCAGTAGTAGTAGCAGTAGAGTAGTAGTAGTAGTAGTAGTAGTAGTAGTAGTAGTAGTAGTAGTAGTAGTAGTAGTAGTAGTAGTAGTAGTAGTAGTAGTAGTAGTAGTAGTAGTAGTAGTAGTAGTAGTAGTAGTAGTAGTAGTAGTAGTAGTAGTAGTAGTAGTAGTAGTAGTAGTAGTAGTAGTAGTAGTAGTAGTAGTAGTAGTAGTAGTAGTAGTAGTAGTAGTAGTAGTAGTAGTAGTAGTAGTAGTAGTAGTAGTAGTAGTAGTAGTAGTAGTAGTAGTAGTAGTAGTAGTAGTAGTAGTAGTAGTAGCAGTAGTACGAAGAGGAGGAGGAGGAGGAGGAGGAGGAGGAGGAGGACGTGGATCGGCATTTTTTGGGGGGCGCCCAGCCAGGTGGAGCGAAACTTGCCCGAAAGTTTACCCGCGTGGCGAACCGCAGGGACAACGACGATCTCGACAGGGGAGAACGTTCTAGAACAAGCCCCGAGACAGGAAGGGGAAAAATAAAACAATCCCAACCATCGGGCGTCTCGCAAAAATCGAGGCGGATTTTTGTTCGTCATTTTCGGCCTCTCGGGGCCCTCGCCGGGCCTCGGGACCGTCCAAAAACGACTCGGGATGAAAAACCGGTCCCGGAAGAGCGGTCCGGAGGTCGGGGACCCGTGTCTGCACAAAAATTGAGGCGTCGGATGACTGGGATACGACTCTCGTCCCCGAAAGAGTATGATGCTAAACTGGTCACGCCTGGTGACTGGTTTGCCGAAAGAACAGAAAACCCCCGCCCTTGGCCCCTCAGCTCTTGCCCCTCATCCACGGGGACCCCTGCAGGACTTGGAGAGGAGGCGGGTTTTGTTGGACCGCTATCCGATGGAGTCTCCCAGCGAACAATGTTCGCAATCTACCTCTCGCTCGGATGGCATCACGCCGCGAGAAACAAAGTAGCTGTGTCCATAGTCGATGAATACCTCCTCGTCCACAATGATACTGCGTCGCGCGACGAACACGATCGTGTCCATATCCACGTCGTGAAACCAATCAATGTGCGGGTCTGGGGAGTGGTTAAACAAAGCACCGAGACCGAGTGCTAGCAGTATGTCGGGCTCGTGGCCAGAGGAAAAACGCATCGCGTAGTCGCGTAGGAGGTGTCTCGCCTCCCCGTTAAGACGAACCACGGGGCAGAGCTCCAAGATCTGGCCTTCCTCACACGATCTCGTGCAGAACACGCCTGTGCCGTGCACTGGCGACGCGCCGTGCCGAAGACAGCTCCCCAGAGGGGCCAACTTCTCCAGCGGCATGCTGCGAGCATCCACTATAATTTTTGGGGCACTGACCGTCACCGGCCTTGCCAGGAGCTGGTGCCAACCGGCTGGAGCGAGCAGCTCTTGACCCTCTGATATCAATGAAGTGGCTACCCAGCGCAACTCACTACCATCGAGCATGGGCTCGATGTTCATTCCAAAATCCACGCGGCGGTACAGGCAGCTGAATCCGAAGGGCATCGCTAAATGAAGAGCGCCGGCTCGTTGCACAGCGAACGCGCCACTTGCCAGAAGCTCCGACTCGCTCATCTGCTCGACTGTGCATGGGGTCGAAAAGAGCGGGCAAGCTTCCACTAGCTCGTTCGGTGCTCTCTGCCTGGTTGCCAGCCACACTCCATGACCACATCCTGTCGCGTCCAATCGCACCTCCAGGCCCCACTGCGAGCTGTATCCCCTGGTCCTGTTAGCGGCGGAGATGCGACCAATGTGCCTGCCGAGAATCCGCACGCGCGACCCACGATCGTCTCGCCACCCCATCTGCGCGCTGTGCTGGCAACGCCTTACCAGCACCTCGTGCAGCTCGGAAAGCCTTTCCCCAAGATCGGCCATGGCGCAATGGGAGGCCTTTCATGCAGACCATGCACTGGGTGGGGCAGTGAACCTTCCAGCTGCTTGAGCCTGGTGAGTACGGTTCCGCCGTTGTGCCGCCAGATCGCTCTTCTGGCTCTTTTGCCTCGTGGGGGCCCCATCCATACCGCGATGACGCTCTCTAGGATGCTGAGCAAGACACGAAATTCTTCATTCCGAACTTTCTGGCCCGGATTCGGTATGTTCCTCGACGCCCCCCCGGGTCGTCACGCTTACAGAAACAAACAGCATCTGAACTGTCAGTGCCGGTTTGGCCGCCCTCCAGCCAGACCAGAAAAAACGCCCACCACAAAAAGACACATACCTTTTTGCCCACCTACTGCTGGCTCCTTTCGGCATGTCGTTCGTCTCGGCGTACTTGGCGTGGGGGGCAGCTGGGAGGCTTCAAGCTTGCTCGACCCGACACATTTCAAATCGATCGGGGGGAGCTCCGCTCAAGCCTCAGAGAGGCCGGGGGGGGGGGGGGTCCTGGCAGCTGCTTGGGAATATCGTGATCTAGGATGGGCACAAAAGGCAGTTAAAAGAACTTTTCTGGCAGAGTTTTAGAAGGCGGCTGGGGGGCAAACAGGACCCAAAAAGTTGTACCCCGCGGGCGCTTCGTGTAGGAGCAACCACGACCACGGCCACAATGAACGTGCCGAAACGATCCCCCGAGTGGGGGCAACAGTTACCGCTGCCAAAGCACGTTGTTCCCCGTCCGCGACTATCAAAGAGTGCAGCCGACACTTCCAGCATGCCCCCCGATCACAAAACCAGCATCCTTGGACGGTCCTCCTGGGAACGAGTCGGGGGTGACTTTGGAGGGTCTCACCCCCAGGCCGTACACGGCATGCCCACGGCATGCCACGCTCTCGAATGCCAGACCCCGTCCCCCAGCGCGCTTCGCGCGCCAAGGGCGGCGCCGAAGGCGCCGCCAAGGGGTCTGACATCAGGGGGCGGACGGCTTGACGTGGGCATGCCGTGTGCCCCCTGGGCGTGCGACTCCCTCGGAAACGAAGCGCGTCGGCGCCGAATGCGACGCCTGGGTCAGAGATCGCCCACCAAGAGGGCTGTCCCCCAAATCCGATGTCATAGGTTCGTTGCGGTGTGGGGACGTTCGAGATGTTGCGGCCATGCATGTCGATCCCGCTCCGTCCCTCCTCCCCCCATCTCCTCCCCTCCTCTTGTCACGTGGAAGATGGCGGCCTGGCAATTCCCAAACAGACCATCCCCCTCTTTGGCACGCCCGAAACAGGTACGGACAACATGGGTACGATGCCCAACGGCGCATGTTTTCCCAAACCGACAGCGTCCGCTGTTCGGCAGGCGCTTTCTGGTGCCAAATGGACAACGTCGGCTGTGACGCCGACAGCGGGGCCTGCTCAAAATGAACAGGAACTGCTGCCGGTCTTCATCCCCACATCTCACCGATTCTTGCTCCCCGCTCCTCTCTTCTTAGATGCTCGTTCTTGGGAACTTCATAACGCCACTCGCTCCACTCATGCGCCGATGCTGCGTCACACATATTCGTTAGGTAGGCCCCAGGAGAGTCCCACAAACGAGCATCTGCAACAGACACCTGAGTTTCCCGAGGTGCTCCAGGACTTCGGAGGACCCCTGGGGTCTTCGGGGGATAAGACATTTCCGCGGGGCACCTGCTGGCAGGCCCATTTCTTTTTCGATGTACCTACTGAGACTCTCCCTAGCCCGGCCCAACACTCGGAGGAGAGCCAGTTGAGACAGCGGCCGTTCTCTCACTCAGAATCGATCCCCGCACCCCCCCCATGGGTCCATCCGGACCCGTCGTTCGACGCGGATCCAACCGGGGTGACAAAACGCATCCAGGAGACCCAACAGTACAGTACCAAAGCCATGCGCCAGCCCTCGGCACGGCGCTTGGACACTCCTGCCGCCACTGAGCAGGTTTTCAGGGAGGACGCGTGGGCAGAAGAGTGCGCAGGTGCGCCCGCCCCCCTCGGGAGAATAGCAGTAGCAAAAACCAAAGTGCCTGACAATGAAGCGAAGGGGCTGGCTTCTTAGATACAGCGAAAGGCCATCGTTGACTCGACTGGCCCTCCTCCAAAACGTGGGGGAGAGGGAGCTGTGGCGGCAACGACGCTCCGCGGTCTGGCGCACTCGCTTCTGCGGGGCGCCCCGCATGGTTCCAGCTGCTCCGCCCTCCTCCTCGCGCCCCTCCTCCTCCTCGCTCCTCCTCCTCCTCCTCGCTCCTCCTCCTCCTCCTCCTCCTCCTCGCTCCTCCTCCGCCTCCTCGCTCCTCCTCGCAGCTCCTCGCTCCTCGCTCCTCGCTCCTCCTCCTCCTCCTCCTCCTTCTCCATTCCTTTTCCTTATAAGCAACTTCTCCCTGTCGCACCCCGAGGCCAGTTCTAGGGCGGGCCGGGCGTGTGGCCTGAGACCTCCACACCATTTATGACTCTGAAGCTTGTAAGTTAGTAACAATTTCACAGATGGAGGGCAAGTGGTTTTCAACATGTGGCTCTCGCCTTAGCGCCGCGCTCATTCGTTCTAACAATTTGCAAGTGTTTCACGGATTGAGGATAAGCCATTTTCAAAATGTGGCTCTCGCCTTAGCGCCGCGCACACTCGTTCGTAAAATACGCAAGATCTTCACAGATTGAGGACCACCGGTTTTCAACATGTGGCTCCCGCCTTCGCGCCGCGCACGTTCGTTCTAAAAACTGCAAGAGCTTCACGGATTGAGGGCGGCTCCTTTTCAAAATGTGACTCTCGCCTTAGCGCCGCGCACATTCGTTCATAAACTTTGCAAGAGTTTCACGGACTTCCACGATCAACGCACCAGGAATGGTGTGTGGAAGAATTCCGAATCTTGCCGGTGCAACAGTTACGTTTGTTCGAGGTGTGAAAATCCCAAGAATGAGGTTCTGGCAAGATCCAGGTTGATCCGTGGCGTTGGGATCCCGAGAGCAATGTGTTGGCATGCTGTCAGGTCTTCAAAATGCTGTCTTCCGCAGATCCCTCAATGGAACTGAACACCTTTGCAGGGGCCTATGAAGAGGGAGCTTGGAGGGAGGGTGTAGTCCTACATCGTTGATGCTCTTGGGTTTACAGTGGTCCTCCTCCTCCTCCTCCTCCTCCTCCTCGCTCCTCGCTCCTCACTCCTCGCTCCTCACTCTTAACTCCTCGCTCCTCGCTCCACGCTCCTCGCTCCTCGCCGCTTCTCGCCCCTCGCGTCTCGCGCCTCGCTCTTCGCACCTCGCGCATCGCTCCTCGCTCCTCGCTCCTCGCTCCTCGCTCCTCGCTCCTGCTCCTGCTGCTCCTCCTCCTCCTCCTCCTCCTCCTCCTCCTCCTCCTCCTCCTCCTCCTCCTCCTCCTCCCCGCTCCTCGCTCCTCGCCCCTCGCTCCTCGCTCCTCGCTCCTCGCTCTTCGTTCCTCGCTTCTCCCCCTCCTCGCTCCTCCTCCTCGCACCTCGCACCTCGCTCCTCGCTCCTCGTTCCTCGCTACTCCTCCTCCTCCTCCTCCTCCTCCTCCTCCTCCTCCTCCTCTCCTCCTCTTCCTCCTCCCTCTATTCGTCCTCCCCTTCTCCTCCTCCTCCTCCTCCTCCACCTCCTCCTCCTCCTCCTCCTCCTCCTCCTCCTCCTCCTCCTCCCCCTCGGCATGGCAGCGGGACGGCAACCATGCCGCCGATCAGCTAGCTAAGAGAGGAGCGTCGCTGGGCCGCCTACGGGAGGAAGACAGAAACCTCCTGCAAGGGTACCTAAAATTGCTCGGCGTCTCATGCGCTTCACAGGCAGGCTGGAGGCCGTGCTCTCTGCAGCGGGGGTTCGAAACCATCTGGGGCTCGAGGCCGCGCGCACGGTTGTGTTGGAAGCGATGTGGCCTGGGTCGGGGAGTGACGGTGAGGGGGACGGCGGGGACACTCATGACTGGCCTGCTGTGCCCCCTGGAGATCTCAACGAGGCTGGCTGCCCGTCTCGAGGACCATGGCGGGTGCAGGGCCACGCCATTTTAGCAGCAGTAGTGCTACGGGAGCAGCCGGCGCAGGGCCCGAAGGGAGCGAGCTCGCATGTTCAGATTTGTACGCGTTGCTTTGGGCACGCCACATGCCCAGGAGTCGGCCGTGGTCTCAAGGCAGAGTGCTCGCCCACGAGAGCACGCAACCCACGGGCGCAGAGCATACGCAGCAGAGCCGAGAGGGGCGTTCATCCCCACCACGCGTGGCGCGCCGGCATCGGCGAATTGGCTGGGCCATCAGCGGGGTTGCGCGCGCAGTGGAGGGAGCATTTCTCTGGGCCCGACGCGGCGCAGGCAGCGAGGGGGCCTGACGCGCGCCGCGCGGCCCTAGACCAACCGATGCGGTGGGGCAGCGAATACCCCCGAATGGCCATAAGCGATGTCTTGTGGGCCTTCGGTTTTCGTTCGCGCGCTAGGGCGGAGGAGCTCGGACGCGAGGCGTACGCCCTCGATGCTGCCCGGGCCAGCGCCAATGCTGCCCGGGGCGAGTGCTTTGAATATGAGGCACCCTCTGGGGCATGAGGCCGGCATCGGGTGCGCGCCAGCGGCGCGGGCTCTGTGTGGGCCCACCTCCACCGCTGCGGGCACCTCCCTCGGGTGGCCTTTGTGGGGGTGGGGCGAGACCTCCTTCTCCTCTCCACTCCCTCTGGAGTCGTCTACCTCCTCCTCCTCCTCCTCCTCCTCCTCCTCCTCCTCCTCCTCCTCCTCCTCCTCCTCCTCCTCTCCTGGCCCTCCTCCGAAACGCGGAGAGAGGAGCTGCGGCGACGGGGCTGCCCGCACGCTTCCAGGGCCGACGAGAAGGCGCGAAGGCTCCGCGGTCTGGCGCACCGGCTTCTGCGGGGCGCCCCGCATAGCTCCAGCTGCTCCTCGGGGGCGAGGTGCGAGCGGGGGAGGCCGAGGGAGGGGGAGCGGGAGGGCAAAGGGAGGGAGAGGAGGAGGAGGAGGAGGACGGACGGAGCAGGAGGAGGGGGGGTATGAGTACGAGTATGACCATGTGGCAGAGCCGACGATGAAGATGAGTGAATGGGGGAGGGAGGGCGGGAGGGAGGGGGAAAAGGCGCAACA